CTCCATGTCCGATGTCTAAGGTCATCTGGTGAGGCATTAATGCAGGCCAGGCAGTGAGACTTCCCAGGGACCTTTCCAGTCTGTATGAAAGGTGTCATGGTCTTCTCCACAGCCTTCACCTCAGATGCAGACCATGGCTTTCTTACACGTTCTAGGGAGAGAAATAAAAATATATTAGCGATATACACTCCCAGGGTGAGGACCAAGCAGCCTGGCTGTAATCCCCCACCTGGTACACTTACCAGAAGGGGCACTGCCACTACCATGGGGTGCATCTGGATGAATGGTTGAAGGTTCTCCGCTTGAAGTTTCTTTTAGCCCGTCCGTTTGTGAGAGGATCTCTACTGCTCTCCCTGTCGCACAGAAAATAAAAATACAAGTGGCCTTTAGGGGGAAAAAATCATACATATTTTAATAATATCAAGAATTACCTTCAGGCTCAATTTGTATCTGGTCGAGGCTCTTTCCTTCGAATTCCGTCACTCTTCCCTGCTCCATGGCCATCAACACTTTGCTGATTTTGGCCAGCTCCAGTGTCCCCTCTGGTAGTCTGTAATATTGCCTGTGGATGCGAATGTCATGGCCGAGGAAGTTGGCAAGTATGTCCATCTCATTCTCTTTCATATTGAGAACTGTAGACATAGTAGCTATGTGCTTTCTAAGTTTGGTTGAGGATAGCATCTCTGGATGCACCGCACCACATTCTTTGGCTACCTGGCGTAGGGAGTCTGATCCCCTGATGTGGGTGTCTGCGCCCGGGCGGGAAAAGAAGTATGGGTTATGGTCAGAGATGGAACAGGCCCTTCTGTTCTCCACCAGCACCTCCATCGAAGCAATCATTTCAGGAGTCAAAAGAACCGGCACTTTCCGACTTCTTTTCCCTTTAATTTCAATGCGTTGAAAATGCTGACACAGCTTTTTCTCAAGTTGGGACAGTCCCAGAGCAATGTCAGAATGGATCCCAGTCTTACTTCTTAAGGTAAAGGCTGTCAGTGGCATCTTTGAAACCTCACCTTCCCTTCTTCGATTGAAAATGATGACCTCACAAAGAGTCAAAACTGCCAGTTTAGACCAATGCTTAGACGTTGGCTCACTTATTAGGGTTTGCACATATTCAGGTCGACATACCTCAATATGTGCATGCATGGCTCTAACGTCCTCAGTCAGAGGGAGCAGGTCCGGAGTGTTCCACTTGGCTTGCCGGAGGGTCTGTAGGGCAGCAGAAGAAACACAGACGTCCCACCTCTTCTCAAAAAGCAGCCGGCTTCGTTGGAGGTTTTTAATAAATAGTTCATCAACACAATGCTCCATTTTTGAGTCACATTCAAGAATATCTGCTAGCTTTCTGAGGCTATGGCCGAGTTTGAGGGCCAAGGATGGAGTCTTGTATTGATTTGTTTCCTCATCATATCCAGCCACAGACCTGACTGCATCAATCACATGGTTAAAGTTGGAAGGAATAAAGAAATCCTTAATTGTTTTCAGTTTCCCTGCGGTTTTTGCTTCGTTAATTAACCTACCGACTTCTCTCATTTTCTGCCTAATGTAATCATGCTTAGTCTTATCATGCCCGTGTTTTAAGTACAGGTGCTCTCCGAGTCTCAGAATCCCCTTTTCTGCTTTGACAACACCCGTGACCTCATCCTGATGCATTGCCGAAATTAAAGACCACAGCTTTTTGCTGATGCCCTCCGGTACAGGCTGGGCTAGGGAGCAGAGGGACTGGACCCTACTTCTACCTGGTTTAGCCTGGGCATCTTTCTGTGACAGCCGGCACCTGGCCACATGCCTCCACAGCGACTTTCGCTTAAGCAATGCCCCACAGTCTATACAGTGCAAAAACTCACTGGATTTAACTGGGGAATTTGGCTGTTTAGCTGGGACTAAAGTTCCAATGCCGGCCTTTAAAACCTCAAAATTGTGCTCACGGTTTCCACTATTCCTGATCAAATCAAACTGAAGTTTACGTGCTTTAGATTTCACAGGTAGAGCCAATGCTCTGGCTACGTCACTTTCATTTCCATGTTTTCTAGTCAAATGACGGGACATTTTGTGGCAGGACATTGAACAGTAGAGGCAGAAGTGTCTCTTGCTGTAAACTCGCCCCCCATTTTTCTTCTTTTGCAGCTGCATGATAACAATCTTATTTGCCTTTGGTTCGTCACTTTCCGAGTCTTGAAGAAAAGTGTTTTTGATTTTTCTTTTTCCATACTTTTTTACAGGTTTCTTCTTGACAGTTAAATCGTCAGAATCTGAGTCGACTTCATCAATTAGGGACTCTTGACTAAGCTGCACAAACAACAAATAATTTGTAATCATTCTATATAACAATTTGAAGTCATGACTTGTAGTCAGCACTTACCAGTGGTTTGTAAGCGTGCGCTTCAGTGTGCTCCTCCATGATTTCTTGCAGCCTAATGAACCACACACTTGCACCTTTTTCTAGCCTGACACCTGATTTCCTCTGTTGTGCTGCTCCATGATTGGCTCCAGCCTGCTGGACTGAAATTGCCCCAGTGTGCCCCTCCTTGATATCCCGCAACCCACCACCAGGGTTCCGACACATAACACACTTTTTTCAGGAAAGTAAACCTCCAGGGGTCCTTTCCATATTTTTACAGAGACTGCATAAGGACCGTTAGAAAAGCATTACCCATTGATTATTAAGCTTGGACCAGTGGGGTCCGGTGTTCGGGCCCCACCACGTAAAACCAGTCCCCATGACGTGAGTGGAATCTCAGGTTATGGAACCCACCAGGAGTTGAAAACAAGTGCACACACTCTCACACTCACACACTCTCACACACTCACACACTCTCACACACTCTCACACACTCACACTCACACACTCACACACTCACACACTCACACACTCTCACACTCTCACACTCTCACACTCTCACACTCTCACACTCACACTCTCACACACTCTCACACTCTCACACACTCACACACTCTCACACACTCTCACACACTCTCACACTCACACTCTCACACACTCACACACTCTCACACACTCTCACACTCTCACACTCACACTCTCACACACTCACACACTCTCACACACTCACACACTCTCACATATACGGGTTTATATGGTTTGTGGGGACCAACTTTTTATTCATCACATGTAGGGACCAGCCTTTCTAAATGTTGTAAAGCTATGAAAAAAATCAAGTATAACCACTATGGCTAGCTTAGCTTATACACAACTTCAAATGCCAGAATTAATGAAGTAATTGCTGGGCCATGACAACTGGGGACTTGGGAAAAATCGATTTTACATGATTAATAGGGACCTAATTTAAATATATGTAAATTTATTTGCATAATTTACACAAGGTCCCCCACTACTTATATGTGATTAATGGGGACATTGCACCAGGTGTATTACTGACAAATGGCAAGTATCTGTATTAAACCCTCCAATAAAGGTAAATGAATGTGAATACTGATGGATGAAACAATCTAATTTTTAAAATTATTTTGCTTGCTAAATGTAGTGTCAACACATAGATATTGCACACTCACATAAAGTGTATGACAATAAACTTTATTCAGTGCACCAAATCGACTCAGATTAGGTCAAAAGGCACACAAAAAGCCCTCTTCTTACATTTGAACATGGTACCCCAGAAGAACAGTCTGGTCAAGAATCCAGAAAGAAGTCTTAAAGTCTGAACAGTAAACAATAAAAGGGGTTCCCAGTATGTATTTAAAAAAATAATAATAATAATAATAAAACCTAAGATTTTGACATATTTTTAGTGGGCAATGTTTAAATTAAAATCTACTTAACAAAAAAGAAAAAGAAAAACTGCCTTACCAGGAAGTTGGTCACCAACAAGCTAGTTACATTGCAGTTTCCTTTTGGAGGCTGTAATGCGGTTATAAACATAAAATTTGATGTGCTGCCAGTTCCGGTTCTTAAGGATTTCAGGTTCAGCCTTTAAACACTTCTCGCAGTCCATTTTTCCTGGTACAATGTGAGATGAGATGAACTTCATCATGTGCCTTTCTACCACCTGCACCTCTGTCTTCTGCCAGGGACTTTTCTTCTTCTGTGTGGGTTTGCCTTAAAATAGAGAGAAAAGATCAGAACAGTGAAGTGAATTCCAAACTAAAGCTCTCACCCATTTCAGTAATGGACCAGGTTCCTCAATCAAAGTGAAAATATTTGCTCTTTACGTAAACTTACATTGTCACTCAAACATCAATTAGTAAACTGTCTTTTGAGCTTGCACGCTGTGTAATCACCTACATTGTCCATATCAAAAAACACCCCAGAGCTATCTCATCGGAAAGCCTAATTAGTCACATTTACCATGAAGTATAGTAATCTTTATTTATATATACTGCCTTTTCACTGCACATCAGAGTCTCAAAGCGGTTTACATTTGTGATTTTTGGGAGCAGAGTCGCCAGTACAGGAGGCACTTGCCAGACCTATTGTACATATTTTTTAGTGGTAGGGGAAACCGGAGCACCCGGAGGAAACCGGAGCAGACACGGGGAGAACATGCAAACTCCACCCAGAAAGGCCCTGGTCCAACCGGGATTCCAACCCAGGACCTTCTTGCTGAGAGGCGAGAGTGCTTTCCACTCAGCCACCGTGCCGCCCAGTATAAAACAAACATCAATGGAATGAACAACAAAGCCAATTTTCCCAGCAATATTCTTCTGTTTCACCCTGCCATCCTTTCCGGCTGCAGAGTTTCAGAGGTCACTACAACTTCTGATTCAATTTGGAGAGACGAGAAAACAGGAAGTTTTGAGTATTTTATTGAAAGGAGGTTTGGCGCCCTAGGTCCCGGTGCGGCCTTCAGATCGGAGAGGCTCCTGCGCTGGAGCGCGCACAATCCCCCGGGACCTAGGCACTGGTGGCGGCATTTGGCAGCGGGAAGCAGATTGAAGGCAGATTGGAGGCAGGGTGAAGAGGAGGAGGAGGGGAGGCGGTGGTTGCAAGGCTTCAGAGGCCGAGAGTGGGAGTTTCTCCGTTTTTATGCGGCTGGCGTAGTCGGTACAGATGATTGGAAGGGGGCGTCTGCTGAGCGATAGGCTGGGGATGCGAGCCGGCCTGGAGGGGGTAATTTTGGTTAACGTCTACCAAATTGAATTTTCGCTGGCTGCATTTTTCTTCTATAAATTGTGACACCCAATATGGAAAGTAATAACCTGCATAGAACTCTGCTGTTCATTGAACAGCAAAGGTTGCACTGTTATAAATGTGGTATTCAGAGCTTAACACAAGATAATTACGTTTCAATGCAAAATTACATACGTGTGCCCACTATTACAATCATTTTTATTTCAGGCATTGTTATTTTTCATATCAATTTGTGGAAAGCGTTCAAAGTTTAAAGCTTATACATGGTTTTAATACCTTTCTAAATGCATTTCTGTGTTACAGTCAAATAAAGTGATTTTTTGTTGTTGCTGTCTTAAATTTGATTATTAAAGTTTTTAAACAAGTAATATTAAAAACTAATATTATATTACTAATACTATTAAAAAGTCTAGTCGTCAATCAAACCCAATCACACAAATCATTTTGTATCTATTTTTTTCCATTATATTTATGGCAACCACTATTTACTGCAAGAGTAACGGCCTTAGCTGATTCAACCTTTTTGTTTTTCAATTGATATTAAAGCTAAGTGCAGTTAAGCAGCTTCTATGCTATACATTTGACTGTTAAACTGATTATACCTTTATAAACAAAGGACAGGTGGTTGGTATAAGAGCCAATTATTCCTAATGTTTACATCATCAGAATAATATATTTCAATATAATCTTTTCTTGGCAAGAAAAAACCCCCAAAAAAAACAGGAGTTAGTTTATTTGATTTCAGAACACATGGAATTAGTTATGTGTGTTTCTTTCACATCATAAAAGTGCATTTAAAAAACAGTTGTCAAAGCCAATACTTTTTTCTAAATGCATTTTTATGTTCTAATCAAATAAAGTGATTAATTTGACCACCCGTTGGTAGGAGCTAATTATTTCTACTGTTAATATAGTCAGAATAGTTATTGATTTTAGTCCAAATACTGATCATGTGATCATTTTAGTCACAATAATCGTAATATATTTCAATATAATCTTTTCTTGGCAAGAAAAAAAAAAACAGGAGTTACAGTTTATTTGATTTCAGAACACAAGGAATTAGTTATGTGTGTTTCTTTCACATCATAAAAGTGCATTTAAAAAACAACCAACCTTTAGAGGAAGACTTCTTAGTGCCAACTCCTGATGGCATCTCATCATCTGATGATGGTGGCTTGCACCTCTTGTGTGATTTGTGTCTCTTGTGTGGCGTATCACCCCTCTCATTTTCTAGTCAAATAAAATGATTGAGTTGACCTGCTGTTGGTAGGAGCTATTTTTTCCTCATGTTTATATCATCAGAATAGTTTTTGATTTTAGTCTAAGTTCAAACAGAAATTTAAAAAAACAACCAACCTTTGGGCAAAGGATTCTTAGCTCTGACTCTTGATGGTATCTCGTCATCTGATGGAGGTATGTGCCCCTCTTGTGGTACCAGTACTGTTTCATTCCTCTCAGGAGAGGGAAGTGTGTCTTCTGTTGGTGGTCATATGGAAAATAACCTTTTCTTATCATCTTACAGCATCTTGACAGTAACCTGTATAAACTAACACTATGCAATAGTTGAATACTTTGCAATAGAAACAAGGTATTTAACTGGTTAATAAACTGTGCTCTATACAGTACATAAACTAGCCTTGACTTGCTTATTAAAATAGAGGAAGAAAGGTATGTAACCTTCTGACAACACAGTACATACCATCATCAGTAAGGTTGCCCTCAGGCATGTTCTCATCATCTTCGTCACTTTCCTGAAGTTTTTCTGTAGAAATAGTACAAAACGTAGTGTTTTACTCAAACAAAACCGAAAAGATGGCAAATACAGAAAAACAAAACGACAAACCATCTGGGTCAATTAGATTAGATTAGATTGGTTTATTTGAAAGGGGACAGTGCAATTTCATGTAACACATGAACAAACATGGTTAAAAAAGCCAAAATTAGCCAGAAGGCTATTTTTCATCTGTAGTCCCCTGGCCAAGATGTAAAAAGGCATTAAAATACAAGCATGATAAAACATTACAATTCTTTGACACATCAATAACAACAAATAAAATATAAATGACACTGTATAATAACTAAAGGCACACAGTACCTGATTGCAATATAAAAACACACAAAAACACTTGTTTAAAAGGATACGTTAGATATACAATACAGCATAACATGCTCAGCTTTTAATGTTGGCAGACGTACATGTTAATGTACCTATTTTTCAATTTTTTCGTAAAGGCCTTGTAAGTGGTGAGCTGTCTAACCTCCTCAGGCATTGAGTTCCACTCAACGGCGCCCCTCACTGACCAGGCCGAGCGACTGAAAGCACTCCGGCGCAGAGGGATTACACAGTCGCCTCTTACAGAGCCTCGAGTGACACGCTCAGAGCTGTTTCTTTGGCTGATGAACTCTGCCAGTGGAGCTGGGGCTAAATTATGTATTACTTTGTATATGAGACTCAGATCTGCAAATCTATGGAGACTGTCCCAGTTTAAAAGGCTGTACTTTTTAAGAATTGTACAGTGATGATAGTGTCTTGGTTTTTTGTCCATGACTTTAATGGCTTGTTTGTATAATGTTTCCAAAGGGCTTTTGGCGCTCTGACTTGCCTGAGACCAACTTATTAGGCAGTAGTTAAAGTGGCTGAGAATCATGGAATGTAGAAAAATTATTGCAGCTTCGATTGACATTTCATTACGGATTGAGCGGAAATTTGCAAGATTAAATTTTATATTTTTGCATAATTTGTCAATATGGGCTTTAAAGGAGAGGTGTGAGTCGATTACTAACCCAAGATATTTGTATTGATTTACAATTTGTAATTTTTTTCCAGCAACTAGTATGTCAGGATTAAATGAGGCTCTATTGGCTTTACTGAAAAACATACCTACAGTTTTTGAAATATTTAGCTGCAGGCAGTTCTCCTGCAGCCAGGATGTGATAAGATTCATTGCTTTAGTGAGTTTAGCAGCAACAATGTCCTTTGAGCGACCGTGAACAAATAAAACAGTGTCATCTGCATACATCAAACATTCAACTTCAGAGCAGACAGTTGGTAGATCATTAATATAAAGGCTAAATAAGAGGGGGCCTAATATTGAGCCCTGAGGAACCCCGGTGGTTAGCCTAAGAGACTCAGACTTGCTGTTGTTAATTAATACAGATTGTGTACGATCATGCAGGTAAGATTCAAACCAACTCACAGTGTCACGAGAGAAATTAAACTGTGAGAGCTTAGTAAGGAGAACAGAGTGGTTAACTGTGTCAAAAGCTTTCCTGAGATCCAAGAATACCGTCCCTACTACTCCACCCTTGTCAAGAGAAGATTTTATTTTCTCAATAAAAAGGCATGTAGCCGTTTCAGTGGAGTGTTTGGATCTGAAACCAAACTGCATGGCGTGAAAAGAGGGGGAGCTATTGTTTAAATACTGGACAACCTGCTCAGCCACCCATTTTTCTGCAACTTTGGAAATGGTCGGAAGAATGCTTATGGGTCGGTAGTTATTCAGAGAGGTTGGAACACCAGATTTATAAACTGGTGTAACAATAGCAGATTTCCAGGCCTTTGGAAAGTGACCACTGGAAATTGAGAGATTAATGATGGAAGCAATGGGAGTAGCCAGAGCGGATCCTGAATCTTTAAGCATGTTTGTATCCATTCCAAAGACATCCCTGGCCTTAGATGGTTTGAGGGTTTTAATTATGTTAATGACTTTGGTCTCAGTGATGTTTGTTATGAAAAAAGACTGTGTAGCAGACAATGAGTATTCTTTTTTTTGTTTTACTGTAAAGTTCTTAGAGATTTCTGCTACAGATTCAATAAAGTAATTGTTAAAGGCATCAGCTATTACTTTTGGTTCTGTTGAAATGTCTCCATTTAATTCAATTTGCATTTGTTTGGTCTTACTTTTGTGGGAGTCACCTGTCAATTTTTTTATATAATGCCAGGTTATTTTAGAATTTCCACGTGCACTTTTCAAAGCAGTGATGAAAAAGTCAGCTTTAGATTTTCTTATTTCTTTCACTACTCTGTTTCTTAAAGAGATAAATTGATTCCTGTTATAGCCTGATTTTACAGCCAACTTCAAGGAATGATCTCGTTCTTTCATCAATTTCAAAATAGATTCATTTAACCAGGGAAGACCATTTTTTTTAGCTCTTAGTTTAATTTTCCGTGTAAATTGTGTAATAATTTGCTGTATTTTGTTAGAGAATTGAGAACAGTCCTTGTCCAAGTTTATGCCATAGAGTAATTCATCCCAATTTACACCATGGATTGAATCTATGAAGGTTTGTTGTTCCTGCTTTGGTATCCTAAAGGATTCTCTGGCTGGCAAAGATTTAAAACGTTTTTTATTTAGTTTTCTGGTTACCATTATGAGATTGTGATCAGACAATCCAGTAAGCATATTGTATGATTTCAAAATCCTTTCTGGCCTGTTTGTAAAAGCTAAGTCAATTTGAGTGCTCGTAGTGTTTGTAATTCTCGTAGGGCCTTTAATCACCTGATTCATATCCATTTTATCCATAACCTTTTTCAAGTTTTTCCTGATTTGCTTGACTTCCCAATTAACATTTAGATCACCCATTATTATAAGTTCTTTTGCAGGGTTGAGTTGTTTTAATAAAATGTCCAGGTTTTCATAAAAATCTGCATTTGAAGAAGGAGGCCTATAAATAACAACAAGAATGAAGGACATTTGCTGTGACAAAGTTACATTTAAACCAAGAATTTCTAAATCATTCTCATTTGCAACATGAATTTCATTACAGTTAAATGAGTCCTTGGCATAAATCATGACCCCCCCTCCCTTGGAACCCTGTCTGTCTTTACGAAATATTTTATAACCGGGTATAGATGTTATTGCAGAGGGTGAGGTTTCATGAAGCCATGTCTCAGAAAGGCATAGAAAGTCAATATTAGAGTCAGTAAGTAGGTGGCGGACTTGATCATTTTTTGACTTGATACTTCGTATATTTAAATGTGCACATAGAATGCCTTTTGGTTTGGATCTTGAGTCCCAAATTAATTTAGAGTTATTAACTGTCTGAAATACCCGGAGTTTCCGGTGTTTTATTATTGCGGGATTTGGCAGTTTCCTGTTTCTATTGTTGACGTTATTTGTAAGTAGCTTTACATTTTCTGTGCTGTCACCTGTTGCACAGTGCTCAAACTTACAAGAAAGAGAAGATGGGGCTCGGATTTTTCTTGCCGTAGTAGAAAGGGTCTGACACCTGGAGTTTAGCAATCCTGCCGTTCCGGTAAGATCCGTGCAAGTGCCATCTTTCAACCATGCCGTCCCTGCTGTACTATCGCTGCTGCCACTCCTATCAATTGTTTGTGGACTGTTGACAACACTCCCCTGCGCCGAAGCCCTCACGGCACAGTTTAATGCGCACGATGAACCCCGGTGAAACAGCGCTCCACGGCCAACCTGGAAGGCGTCCTCGTCCAAATACCCGATTGACGGGGGCATCCCGTGCGGCGCAGCCGGTAAACTCGCCGCTAGTCCCTGATGGATCCATCCAACCGGTGACCACGTCCGCGCCGATCACTGGTTCCGCCGCGCTCGCCGGGGAGATGAGAGAATCGAGGTGAGTGTTTAGCTCAAACATGTAGCTTGTAGTAAACGTGCGTACCTGTGAGTTTCCTGGGATGCTCTTACAGTGGTTTGATGTGATGCTGTGGTGGCTATCTGATGTTAGGCCATTTGTCGGACCGGGGCATTGGTGGATGTCCCCGGACAGCAGAAGGTAGATGGTGATCATTAGTGCGAGGCTCTGTTGCGGCTTTAATGCCGGTTTGGAGGGCTTTCTGATTTTGCTATGCAGATATGGATGAACGAGCATAGAAGCCAGGACGTGTCTTCCAAGTCCAAGATGTTTGGTGAATTTGATAGGCACAAAGTCCATTGATATAGGTTTGATTATGCCATTGTAACTGTATGAGTCATCCAGAATTTGACCTGTGTCTATGTAAAAAAAGGTGTTAGTGAGCAGTGCACAAGCAAAGAGCGCTGCCGCTACACCTGCCACACCCGGGGCCGCCATCTTCCTCCACGAATAGGAGGAAGATCTCTACTTCATCCAAAGTTTTCCCATGAAACTCAGCCACTCTTCCCTGCTCGAGAGCCATCAGGAGTTTGCTGACCTTAGCAAGCTGCAAGGTCTTCTCAGGCAGCCGGTAATACTCTCTGTGGACTCTGATGTCAAGGCCAAGAAAGTTAGCCAACTGGTCCATCTCTGTGTTTGTCATGTTTAACACTGTTGACAAGGTTGCTGCATGCTTTCGCAGCTTCGTTGATGTTAGTGCTCTGGGACATGAAGCACCACATTGGTTTGCAAGGGCACGGAAGCAGTCTGACCCTCTGAAGTGCGTCATGGCTCCTGGTCTTGCAAACAAATGTTTGTTGTCTTTGAGAACCCCACAAGCGTCTCTCTGTGACACAAGGAGTTCTATGGCTTTCAGCATTTTAGGTGTGAGAAGAATTGGGACTGGACGTTCACGCTTTCCTCTTACAACAATCCTAGTGAAATGTCTGCACAGTTTTTTTTCTACTTCAGAGAGTGCCCAGTCCAGATCAACATGAGGATCAGAAGTATCTCTTGATAGGAATGCTGATAGGGGCATGCTGGCCACCTCTCCCTCCCTGCGCCGATTAAAGAGGATGAGCTGGACGAGACACACCTTTGTCAGCTCCTTCCAGACTTTTGCAGAGGGACATTCAGAAAG